TCTATAATTGTAAAATCTAAAATTCTTCTTTAAATAGTCGTAATGCTTGTTATATATTTGTAGAGACATAAGGATTTTTGGAAGCCGGAGAGATGAAAAATTAGCAATCGTCTTTGCCGGGAATCGAACCGCGGACCTCTGGAATACCAGCCCAGCGTGCAGAACTACTAGACCACGAAGGCACGCTCGGAAAGTGGGAGAAGTACCTTATATACTCCCCTTTTTAAAGGGCGACTGGGTTTTTAGGGGACCCAATCGCCAAATCCTGGGTGTGGAGATTCATCATCCATGACCCTTTTAGTTCGGGCGCGGCGCCACTGTAGAGACATTAGGATTTTTGGAAGCCGGAGAGATGAAAAATTAGCAATAGTCTTCACCGGGAATCGAACCGCGGACCTCTGGAATACCGACTCAGCGTGCAGAACCACTACACCACGAAGGCACCTCGGAAAGTGGGAGAAATACCTTATGTCCTAGCTAAACTAGATTTCCTTCTACGCTAGACTACTGAAGAACTGTATAGCGACTATTCGCTGAATTTTGTAAATAGCAAGTCCAAAGAAGAGTAAATTACCCTATATTCCAACTCAAAATAGATTGCAGATAGCCCCTCTGGGCGTACTATATGCATCCACTTTAACTCAAAATAGAAAATACAAAACTAATACTTAATCAAATTTTATTAGCCGAAGCTGCAGAGAATCAATTAATCAACTAAAATCTAATTAATTAAGGTAAAATAACACGCCGAATAACTATTAATTTAAGTAAGTCAAACAAAAATCAGCGTTAAATTTGAAAATTTTCCCAGGATGAGTTTCGAAGGTTTTACCGAATCACCAGCTGTCAAAGTGCAAATTATCGTTCGCTCTGGACGAGTATTGCCGCGACATCACGTAGAAGCGCGACGTTTGCGGCTCAATAACTTTGTTGCTTAACGGCACATAACGTAGGTAAGTCTTGTGCCTGAATAAGAGGTCGAAAAGTGGTAGTTCAAATAAACGAGATAACAAATAGTGATAAGATAAGAATGCATGGACAGGAGTTAAGCTACTGGCGCCATCTATTGATGAAACAAGAAAACTAAAACAGGAAAGAATTATGTTGTAAGGTAATTATATTTTAGTTTTCTTGTTTCATCAATAGATGCCGCCAGTAGCTTTGTCCAGGCTATCACTATATCTTATCTCGTTTATCTGCACTTTGGCAGCTGAGAATCGAAACTAGTCCTGTGAAAATTTTCAAATATAACGCTGATTTTTGTTGTTTGACTTAATTAATATTTATGCGGCGTGTTATTTTACTTTAATTAACTGGATGATTAAAATTTAAAAGATAAATTTAAAAGTTTCTTTATCATTAGATACAAAATTGGGGAAGATATTTCACGCAAAAAAAATACTGTGTTGAATATTTTTTCCGTACCTAGTATTACCATAGATAAAATTCAAGACTAAGAAAAAATGCAAAGAACAAAATGCACCCATTTAGATCAATAACAGTTTCGTCTTGGATTAATATAATATTTGTCATTTTGTTTGTAAATGTCCATTTAATTATTGATGAAAATATTTGTTTCACATATCTGTTTGAAAATTTGCATACTATATATGAGGAAGTTTTTAAGTTAATGAATTAAAACATATGAATAATAGATTAATAAGCCTTTTTACTGTATGTAAATCATATAAAATGCCCCTCCTCATCTATTCCTTTACAGAATTATTTCCATTTATAAAGGGTATTTTCATAAGAAATTAAAATAAACCTTGTAATTGGGGACACGTGTTTACGTTAGATATTAAAATAAATAAACACCGTAGTCTCATTTTTACATCTTGTATATAAAAATGTATACTCTTTTACGTTCATCCATTTTAAATTTCTGTTTATTTTTACATTATTTCCATTAATATTTGTCTTACTTTAAAATAACGATTCAGCTATGTATATCTTAAACAGGATAAAATGTTAAGACACAATAACACACCGAATAAATACTAATTCAAAAGTCAAACAACAAAAATCAGCGTTATATTTTCAAAATTTTCGCAGTATTTCGCAGTACTGCGAAAATTTTGAAAATATAACGCTGATTTTTGTTGTTTGACTTCTGAATTAGGATAAAATGTTATTTGATTAATTATAATTTCCAAATGGAATCTAAGTTTAGTTATCAATAATAAACACTGCGATCATGCAAAATCATTCATAGTTTAGGTTACATTTTTAGTTATCTTTTAGTGATTCTAATTCTTAAGACAGGATTATTGTTAAACTAATGTTCTACAACATTAAACAATTCAAAGATATTGTAGAGATTTTCAAACTCTATAAATCAATCCGTTCGCTCCCTTAAGAACTTTGGATTCCTGTCAGAAGTCAGAATGAAATCAAATTTTCCTTTTAAGTCCCTGGAAATGAATTACGAGTTCGATGCCTTGCCACACTAAAAACCTGGATGGAGAAATTTCTAACTTTATAATGAAAGAATTGAACTATGCATGCATTCTCTTTTAGAGCTTGTTTGAAATCAGGTTACCTAAATCATACGACTTCACTGAGATCTTATTTATGCATCCCTATTCTTATCTTGTTAATTTTAAAGTGTTAACCAATAATATTCATTGATACCTTTTAAATGTTAAAACCTCCAAACGGAGTCCATAAGTATTATTTGTCTCACTCATCCTCAGTTAACATTCCATGCAATGGTTTAATTATATGCTCGACAGGCAGTCTCATGTTTGATATACAATCGCTTGCATGACGTATCGTGTTCTGAAGATCCTGGTTTGAAATAATGATCGAGTTACGAAATTATTTAGTATTCTACACAAGTGATTATAAAGTATACTGGGAGCCTTATAAGATATTATGGCGAAACCGCTCAGGTAAAACTATGCAAGTATCACTCAGAAGTGATGTTATTAGTAGGTATTTTTGTAGCGGTCTTCGGTTATAGCGATGCTGGAACGATAAAATTATGTAGTGCCCCGCGACGTTTCGAACTCTGGACCTTCGAATATGAGTCGAGCGTGCTTCCAGTTGCACCACGAAGGTATGCGGGAAGAAGGGAGAAAATGTCTTATGTATTAATGCGACGAAAATGTTAAATGTAATTCTTATTTTTTGAGGAATGAAGATATAATTAATCATGAATGAAATTAACATTATAATAAAATATTTCTGCTATTTATCTGTACTGCACATACGTTAATAGGTTAAGTAATATGTTTCGATCTGTTTCGACAGAAAAACCATTTTTGAATTCTTTTCTTATATATTTGATCAGGCTGTTGCAAACACTTAAAATTGTAGCATTTACGAACGATTTTTAGTAAACAATTTCAAAATGATCTCTAAGGTGCTTTGCTGGTATTATAGTTGTCTTATAAGAAACATATCAGTACAAATGTATCTTCTATCTTATAAATACTAGCATTGGGTAATGTAAATCCAGATAAGAAAATGCATATATTAACGAAATCCGTATTGTGAGGGGGATCGTTTTAGATTGGTTCACAGAAGTGTCGTGTATAGTGTAACAAGTTTTATTAGCAGGTTATGTTACACGCGGATATTACTTTAAGAAACTTTAAGAAAATTACAGAACCAAAGTCTGGTACAACCCATCAGGTTAAACACCGGGCTTTTATAAAGTCCTTCTCTGGCTACTCATCAGAGGGCACCCTTGTTGTCCCAGTTAGTCCAACAATTTATGTTAAAGGATTGGTTACAAACTCTCCCTCTGGCTCCGCCGACGTTCCGGCAAGGAGACAGAATTGGAGGATTTGGGAGCTGTTGTAACATTGTTTCTCTTTGAAGCACTGTCCAGAACCACAATTTCTTGATTATTTCGGGAATGCAAAGTAACTTTTGGAGGTCTACCTCTCTTCCTGAGCGGAAGAATGGGAGAGGTGGCGAGTCTTTGAAAGGTGTTAGTGCAGATGTATGGTACGTTCCTAACGGTTCTGATGGTTTATGAAGACTTGAAATGGCATAGGAAGTAGGTGATTTCTGTGTCGTGTCATTACCAAGAATGGACCGTCACGCTTTGGTATGAACTTTGAAGTCTTTTTTGTTTTTAAATTGCTAACGGGATGTAAATTTACCCATACTTTATCGCCTGGTAAATAAAACACTTGTCGCCTTCCTTTATCATATTGCTTTTTACGTTTATCTTGCTTTATTTCGATATGCTCTCGTATGTCCTTTGTAATAGTTACGAATCTTTTAAGATAAGGGATCATTTCAGGAACAAAGTTATCATTTTCGACCACAGCTTTGAAATCGTGAACAACGTCGTCGACAGTCCTCAGCTCTTTTCCAAACATTAGGAATGCTGGTGTATGGCCTGTTGTGTCACAGACGGCCGAATTCATAGCGAAGCGAATAACTGGGAGTTTCGAATGCCAGTTGTCATGCGCATCTCCTACAAGGATGGCAAGACATGGTTTTAAGTCTCTATTTTCCGTTCCACAGGATTTCCACAGAGTAGTCGTCGTCGCAAGAGAGAAACTTTCATTTTTTAACTCAGAATCCTAACTGAATTGAGAGGTTTTCCTCCATTTTATAAGCTTTTTAAATCACGCGCGAGATTGTTCTAGCAATTTCTCGATATCAAAAAGAGATATTTATTTATTAGATATTAAATGCACATGCTCTTGTATTTTTAATTTTTTTTTAAATTTAAACTTAGCTTTCTCATAATATTCGTCACGCGCTGCACTGCACGGAAAATAAAACAATTTAATTTACAATTCTACTAACATTAGCTATTTAAATATCAAATCCGTAACAATATATACTTTAAGAACACAGTAAAGTATTTTTACGTTTTCATATTTAAGTATTTTCACGTTTTCAATATTAAGAGTTAACCCATTATAGAACATTAGTGTTTAAATACAAAACAACTTATAGCATTGACAACAACTATTTGTTCCTGATAAGCCGTTGAAGTGGCAAACACACACACAAAAAAAAATTCATACCTAATGGGCGAGGTATTTCTTTTTCTAAAGTTTTAGGAGTTGGATCCAGCGGGTGTGGATGCAAGTACTGTTTCTGAAAAAGAAAGGGAGCAAAAGCCAAGGAAAATTTTTAAAGCTAAACATAACGTTGGGCGTTTAGATAGGTTCATAGAAAAATCGTGTATAGTGTAACAAGTATTTATTAGCAGGTTTAAGTTACAACGGACATTATATTTAACTTTAAGAAAATTATAGAGCAAGAGTCTGATACAATCTATCAGGTTAGACACTTTTACTAAAGTCCTTCTCTGGCTACTCACAAGAGGGCACCCTTGTTGTCACAATTAGTCCAACAGTTTATGTTAAAGGATTGGTTACAGTATTAAAATAATTAATTTACTAATTTTTTCCTAGCATTGTTTAAAATTTTCTAAAATTTATTCATTCTATAGCTTATAATTACCGTATTACAACAAATTATTTGATACAGAAGAATTAAAATTATGAAATATTTGGTATCCTTTAATTAATCACAAAATATTAAAAATAACAAGAACTGAAATATTTGGTTATCTTTTAATTAATCACAAAATATTAAAAATAACATGAAATATATAAAACAAATTGATCTATTAAAAATTATTTATTCTACATTTGAACATTTTGTAATTTTAATTAAAAAGTATTTTAATTATCCCGAAGTTTGATGAGAAAAGTTCTTATTTACTTATTGTTTTTTTACCAATTTAATTCACATTTTTATAAGGGTAATTATGTCTGTAAATGATTTAATATTCTTAATCGAACTATTTTATTCTTTGAGCTGATAACCTAGAATCTCCAAACTGTTTAAAATAAAATATATTAGCCTGGCAATTAAAAAAAAAAAATCTATGTGCATCTTAGAGAACAAAATATGACCGTATATTTTATATTGGTTATAATGAAATTACTTATAATTGGAAAAAATTAGTTTTCAGTATATTAATTAGCCAGTTTGTTTCTGAGCTAAAGAAAGTTTAAAACTGAAACTTGGGTTTCGAAATTAATTCATAAATATGAAAGGTATCTATTCATACAGATTCGAATAATGTTTAATTGATGGAGTCCAACTTCTGGAAGAGGAAACTATTTCTTCAACCAATCTAATAAATTAAAATGTTAACATTTTACTTTATTAGATTGGTTGAAGGGTAATAAATTAGCAAGAGCTTATATTTTTACCCTATGCATGTTTTCAAAAACACATACGAGACCAAATTTATAATCCTTTTACAAGAGGATCAAAATAAAAACATTGAAAGTTGCACGAGCTGTTAAATTTTGAATTAGGAAAGATATCCGATTTAAACTTTTTCTTAAGAACGAAATCATATGTTATCTTTTACATCTCATTATATTATCCAAAAAGAATGAATGACATTTTTTTAAATTCTAGCAAGAGTTAATTCTTTTTATGTACATAAAAGCTGCCGATACATTTATTTGCATGAAATCGCCATCAAATACCTCTAACAAATTTTATTAATATTCTTGCTTCCATGAAATTTTAAAATTATGATTAATTACGCAAAACTAGGCAAAAATCAACAAATATGTTGCAGTTGGTTTTAGATTTTTTTTGCTTTTTGAGTATACCGGCGTATTATTCTTTAATCCATCTATAATTCTGAATAAAATAATTATTCTTAAAATTTTTCAATCAGCTTACATCTGCATAGTAATGATTAAAATTTTTCGAAGTTGCAGTATATGTTAAGCAGGGAATCGTATCAAATTCGTATAGCGAGGAAGTGTTTAACGTTACCTACCTTTAATTCTACATGGACTTTCTTGCATATCTTGTCTTGAACATAAGCTTGAGTTCCGATTTAAAAGTAAAAATAGATCTTCCTCTTTAAAATTAATGCGCATTTTATATCCTTGATCTAAACTGGAAGATTAAAGTTTAATATGGGCAGTTCTTAACACTTTTATTTCTATTTTATTTTTATAATACATATTCTATAGTTTTATATTAGATAAATGTATAAAAAGTTCTCGCTAGTAACTTGTACAAATAATTATACCGTTTGTATGATTAATGAAAGGCGTTTTCAACTCCAGTAATGTTCAGTTCTTAGTGACTTCAATAACAGTGATGATGATATAATTTACAGTTCCCATGCGCTAACAGTTTAGCTCTATTTTTATTTGTTTTACCTGATTTAGTACCAAGAATTCGTGAGCTTTTGTTAACATATAATCAAGTAATATTATCTATATAATCAAGTAATGATACTTTCTCTCTGCTTCTGAACTCAGGTGAAGAAGTTTCAAAAGCTCAGCCCAGATCATTTATAAGAGTTAAAAGAAAAAAACAAGCAGATCAGAATAATATTTTTGATATATAATAACTAAATCGGGAACTATTCAAATCTTCTATATTTTTGTCTCGATATTCGATGTTGAATGTAAAATGGAACTATTATAAACCGTTCAATCATAAAATTTTAAGAGAACAAAATTATCCATTATCAGTGACAAGCCTTAGTAGGAAGCCAAAATAAGAGTTTTATCTCAAGGGATTTGTTCTTGAAGTATTTTAGTTCTTTAAACATCAAGAAGGTGAAAATGGAACTAAACGAACTGTAAACTTTGCACCTCAGAAAGCCCAAACTCAGAAAGCCCAAAAGTTATTGACAACTGGTAGAAACGTAATAGATGTTTACATGTCAGGTACCTTTCTTTGATGTATTCAGTTTATCATATGTTTGTGCTATCAGGAAAATCATGCCATAAGCATTTCTCATATGACTCATAAAACCATATCTTCTGATTTGCTGAGACATGCAGATTTTTTATTTGTGTGAGCCCTGAATAATCCGTTTGAAATGGATTCTGAACTAGTATGGTTTTTATATATCCACCAAACTTTCAGAGCCAATCTCAGCTATTACCTCCAATTTAATTATCATTGAGAATACGTGAAGAGAAATCTTTTATATAATAGTAAGCTAGGGCATATATCTATAATAACATGGGAATACGTGAAGAGAAAGGTTTTATATAACAGTAAACTATAACATATATATATGAATAGCATGGGAAATAATGTTAGAATTTTTCTTCACTTTTATCTTTTATTTTGCATGTATGTATATTTTGTCTTTTACAACATATAAGCCATGAAACAAGTAAATATCTTTGAAAATTGTTCCTGTTTTTTTTCCTTTATTCTTAGAAATGTTCTGATAGCAAAGTGTCCGATAAGACGATCTTCTCGACGTTTGCTCGGACTCTTCCTCCGAGCTCTAAGGTGTCCAAATCGCTCATCTCACTCTTGAAACACTTCATGTGGGACCAGCTCATGTTGCTTGTTTCTGACAGCTCATCTGATAAGCAAGTAGCAGAAGCACTTATACAACTTGCTCAAGAACATGAAATAGAAATATTGGAAATCTTTTACATTCCGGGAGACTACCTCACCAAACACAACACCACTCTTAAAGACATCATAATGGAAACTTACGAACGAACAAGAGGTAAGTAGTTTATGTTAGCCTGTTACGTTAGGCACTTTACAATACTGCAGCTTACGCTTTCAGCCAGAAAATGAAATGCGGATTCTATTCCATCCAATAATGTATTTTATTATGGATATGATAAAGAGAATCTAATTCAAATTAATAAAAAAAATTATGTACATTTAGCGCAATATTATAATTTCGTGAATAATCCATATATTTCATACGATCGATATACGAATATAACTGGAATATTAAATCACAAGGTAGAGATTCCCAGCTCACATTACAATTATTAGGTTAAAGAAGTTTTCTCATACATAAGGAATATTTTACTCTTGCTAGAATTAAAATCATATTTTCAAAAGAAAACCTTTATACTGATTTACTGCTTTAGAACTGTGGAATAATGAGCAACGTTGTTTCAAAAATAAAAGAACTATACGATAAAAAAGGAGCATGAAAAATTTACTTCTCTTCGTTATATCCTTTCCTACTTTTTTATCAATTATGTATAGTAAAATCTCATAAATGAACTTCGTATAACATAAACCTGAATAAATTGAGTTGAGCAGAAAAATGACATTGAATCAATGCTTCCTAAAACCGATTATTTACAGTACTTCCAAATAAAACTTTTCGTCTTTCTGATTGTGTAACACGTTGAGTGCCATGCGAATTTATTAGTAAATTGCCTTCGGGTAAGACGGGCTGCTTAGAAGGGCGCTGATATTGTGGTATACTAAGCGTACTTCTAAGATTATTAGTTAAGATTAGAATTTTTTTACGATTATATGCATTCAGCTCTCTGTGGTTCTTGGTCCAATGCAGACAAAAATCTTTCTTTAGCCTAGAACGCGAAAATGTCATTTGAATCAATTGAATGTCACCTCAAAAACTGTCGTGATGAAGACATTCCATCTATTATTGGTATTGCGGGTACTACTAAAATCCCCCGCCCAAACTCCAAAAAAAGCTGCGAAGTCTCTACAATGCAAAGATATGAGGATTACGATATGAAGAAAACGCTGCACAGTTTGGTAGAGAAATGGACAGAAAATTGATTAAACAAGTTTCTGATATCTGCGAAGAACAACAGGTTTTATGTTTACCGTATTTCAATAAAATTCATTAAAACAATGTAATTGTTTTTTGTGTTATATCATATTTATCACTGTCAATCACCAGTAACTGATGTCTCCTGAACGGAAAGTTTAATGTCAGTCACCGGTGACTGACGTGGCACTCAACGTTAGTACCTTATAAAGAATACTAGTGATATTGATTTATTTATTACATACAAATATAGCTTGCTGATTGTGAAAGCTATGTTTTCCAAATGATGACTTTCAAATGTCTATGTCCATTGATGGATTTAAATCGCTTTGTTCTATAAGATTCCTGAAAAGAAATAAACTACTCAAAAAGAATTAACAAAGATTTCGATAAATTATAAAACAGATTTTACAATTCATTCTGAATTTTTTGCAATATATGTTGATTTTTTTTTACTTCTTTTATTATACATAAATAAATTTTATCATTTGAAGATTCAGAAAATAAATATTTTTATGAATTATTCTGAAAAATCCAAAATTCGAGTGTTCTGTAAATGCAACATTTCTTGAATGGCCTGCCGCTCAAAGGACTAGTGAAACAATGAAAAAATATCCAAAAACATTATTTTTAATCATGTTTGAATTTACCGTCTTAAAATGAGATAGTTCATTAAAACTGAATCGAGTCCTTTCATACACCACTGCTAGATAGCATATACTATATAAACATTATCAGAAGTTAACTTAATTTAGTTTGAGAATCGAGTTAAAAGCAAACTTAATCTTACCAATAAACTATAGCTAAGCGCAAATGCAGCCTTAATTAAGAGTAGGAGTTTCCTGTGCTGGAACGTGATTCGTTTGCATTTATTTCAGTCATCCTCCTGAGAGAGAACGGAATCAAGACAATAAAATTCCGTTACAAGTTTTTAGATTTTCAATTTTGTAATATACTTTGCTGAATTCAACTACATTTTTTGGTTCTTCCAATTACTTTAAAATTAAATTTTATTTAAGTATTTTCTGTTTTTTCTTACCGTTTTCAAATTCCTTAATTTACGCTTCTTGGTAATTGGTAATTTGAATATTCTTGGTAATTTGAATTTTTAAAGTATGTTTGTAGAAAATACTTTAAAAATTCAAATCTTCCAGTTCAGTATGTATACATTACGTCTGATTCATCTCTACAGTCAGAAGCCATCTCAGGGCGCGCTCACTCAGTACAGAGAAAAAAAGATAATATGCGTAAATGCAAAAATTCATTTTTACAAGTGCAAATACTGATTCAATAGTCTGAGAATTCCACCTCCAAGTAAACCTTTTTTGACATTTTTGTAGAAAAATACTTCCGTCTCAGTATTCGGCATATTTTATTTTAGGGCAATATATGTGTCTCATTTGTATAATAATTCTACACTAACACATAAATTAGTTTAAAAAATAACGGTAGGCTGTCTTTTTTAATTTAAAGAGCCGCTGGTGCTTAATACGTAGGATTGCTAACAGAAGTATGGAGATATTATAGAAAAAAAATAAAACAAACTAAAAGTTTTACACACACATATATTTTATTTTATTTTATTATTTCTTATTTATTGCAATTATTCACTTAAAATGGCCGGTTATATTCCTACTAAATGTTAAATCTATAAATGAATTGCCAAGTGTACTTGTATAGTTATTTGGCACCGTATTGAGATTAAAATGATGTTTCATGAAACCAAATGTTTTTTCATTTCATTTGACATCTGGATTAAAACTTTCCATCATAATAACAGGAACATTTGTATCTACAATAAACGCTTCGTCGATCAATAAAGTAGTCTCAGAATATTTCATCAATGTGTTGAACAAAAACATCTTCAAATCTCCTAAATTAACAATTGAATGAATATATACGGATGCTAGAATAAATCTTGACAGTCTATTAACTTACCTAACAAATGTCACGTGCTTCTGAATCCTGTATTACCTTGCTCTGCTTAACAGTAAATTCTGTTGATGAACTATCTTCTGCACTCATCAATTTTTTTATAAATTCGCAACACCACCAGCTTGACGAAATAAAATAAAATAACAACAAGCACCACCCGAACACACTGTCTACGGATAAATTCCTATCAGACGACCTTGCCGCTCACAAGCGCAGATCAAATAGCCTCTTAATTTTTGCTTTCCTATCAGACCATTGCGGAGGAACGCATTCCCATGTTAAAAAAGTATTTAAATGAAAAAAAGTGTCTTAAATGGAAGTATACTTTTAAAGAAACTGTTTCATTTTTCATATGAGAGAAATACCTAGACCTTTACTAAGGCTATTAAATAAAACCAATTTTAAAATCATTTGTTTGCGTGCTGACTAATCAGTCTTAAAAACTAATTTCGTTATTGTATTATGCGAAAAGAAATATTTCAAACAAAAATTCTTACAAACTTCAGCTGCACCATAACACTGAATTTGTTTAATTTCTATTCAGTTTACTAATTTACAAACTTCATATGACAGATATTTATTCTAAATGCGAGTTATGAACTCTTTTGTTCAAGATTTACAAATTTATCTGATGGTTTGAATTTACACAGCATTCACTTAATTTCCATTTGAAATCTAATTTCATCGTCACTTCAAATGTAACGGGAACAATTTTTATAAAGAAGTACTGAAGAATGCTGTAAAATTTTGTAAACATTTGTTTTATTTTTTTATAATTCGAATTTTCGGTAAGTATAGTTCGGCTTTTTAATGCTGTACATTGTTTTTCTTTCCTATTCCACATAGTTAGTGTGTTTAGTATGGTGTTGGTAGATATATTTGGTGGATGTTTTGTCTGATTCTGAATTTGTGTCATTTTCCTGTATTTTCTTGTGTTTATTTCATATATTATATTACTGATAATGTTTTTCGGGATCAATTGAAGTTTATGTTGTTTGAATTTTGGGCTGGAGCTGAGCGATGTGGGTAGAGACTTCCTAGTGAACTTTAAAAACACTTTTTATCACAAATTTGCAGGCATTTAGCAAGTACTCGTGCAACTTGCTGATATTCTAAAAGTTTCCAAAAAAAACCGCATTTTGTAAGCCCTAGAAGCGATTTTTCTTGAAGTTATCATAAGCACTTACATTTTACTTTGAACAATCCCGTAAACAGAAGGTTGAGAGCAGTTGTCAATCAGTTAGTACAGCTAGTGTAATTCAGAGTTTACAATATTGCGCTTCTTCTCTATAATTACCAATCTGGAATTTATTGCAGGCTGGTGATCGTCGATATTCTTCGCGTATCAAATAGAATTTCGCCTTATATATGTTTTATTTTTCTACTAGGGTTCTAATACCTATTTATCATGCTGTATGAGCTGTTAATTAGCTCAATTCAAATCTTACTGTTCTCCTGATATGGTTATTAAAGGAGATCTGTACAAATCCATAGCACTGGCTGAATCATTTTGATTTAAAACTCCATAACTGTTAGCAATTACAGGCTAAGTAAAAAATCGAATAATTTTTGGGAAACCGCCGAAATTCCGTGAATTGTATTAGAAATTTCAACAAATCTTCATTTGAAAGTTTTATTTTATCTATCCGATGTGCAAATATAAAAATACCGCGATTATTAGTTTCAGCGTCAAACTATGATGTGTAAAACAATTTCAACACTAAATAAAAATATTTTGTGTCAGATTTCAAAAACCATTTTTGTAGAATATTGATTTGTCATCTCAAATATGTGTATTTTTGAAAAGGTTAAAAAATAGGATGAAATAATATTAATTTCAAGATTTAACCCATACAAATAAACCAAAAACCAAACCCAAAAAAAAAACATTTATACAAATTCGAAGTTAACACAGACTAAAGTTATTCAGTAATCCAATACACTAGAACAGCTGATAAAATCTGCTATCAGATTTTAAATTCAAGGCCATCTTTTCAAGGTCATCTGTATAACATTTACATCCGACA